TATTTTTATTTTAAAAAAAGAAATAGAATATTTGATTTTATGATAGTCCCATCTACTACAACCAAGTTATTTACCATACAAATCCTTTTAACCCTGCTTTTAGATTTTTATGGTACCAGCTTCAACAAAAATAGATAAACTGGAACATCTCAGTAGAAATATTCATTTAAGATGCTGCTGCTTAAACCAAAGTAGGAAATTGTCTGTATCTGGTGAGTTACTTCTTAGAATAGGATCTATTCTGTCTCATTGTTTTGATATGTCAAATTAAGCTGATAGAAAATTCAAAATGAAAATCAAAACTTTCGTTTTTGTTTTGTTTTTTTGTAATGTGTGTCTGTAGAAGTAACCAATATTTAAAAATTTTCCCTAAACCAATAAGGATGCATTATTTCCAAAGTAGTTAAAATTACACACTTAATATAAAACATTTAATATTTTAAATGAAATGGTGTTTTCTTGTGCTCAAACATACATTGGCCTGTCAAGGTGACTGAAAAAGCGAAGAAAGCAAGTATGACCAGAGAGAATTGCATGTTTTCTTTTGCTGCTGGTCCTAAACTGAGACAACAACTGAGCCAATATGAAGACGGGCACACAGTGACGCAGCATCTTTACAGCAGCATCCAAGGACACATGCAGGGGGGAGAAATAGATGAAACAGAGACATAGCTGAGAGGCAGAGGTTTCAAGGCTCACCTGGAAAGCTGAAATGATGTCTGTGTCTCAATGGAGAGGATAACATCCGACACCTGAGAAAATGAACAAGGATATAGGGGGGAAATAGCAGTGAGGGAAAAAGAGAGAGAGATTAGACTTGGCTGGAAGCACTATGGGTGTGCACTGGAAGGTGGCAATAGAGTAGACAAACAAAATTAGGAGATTTCATGAAAAAGAAGTATTTATAGAGATGTGGAAAATGGTGAGGAGAGGTTTAGGTAGGAGGATAAGACCAGAAGTAGTTTACTGTACTTTTGGATCAACTGAGGAGTGAAAAGAATTCGGATTCTGACAGGAAAAAAGGTAGAAAGGCATATTTTCTCTTAAAACCAGCAACATGTTTTTTTTTTTTGTTATGAAAGGATTAGACAAACTTTTCATTTATAAGACATACACCAGAAGATGAGAGAAACACAAAACAGCTGCTTTTAGTCTAACATCCACCCACAGGTAGAATACAATGATAAATAGGATCATGGTTCATTGTGGAGGTAAGAGGAATATCATGATTAAAAATATTTTTCATTTCAATATGACTATTTTTCAGGCAAATTTTCCAGGCAAACTAACAATTTTACTACAGTACATAATACCTGGGCCACCAGCCTTTTGGGGTATAAATATTAATTACCCCAAAATTATTAATTTTCAGCATTTTGCAATTATCTATTAACTCTATATGATCTCTTCAGTTTATTTTTTTTATTATTATGTTTTTTTTATGTTTTATGTTTACAGTTTAAACTGCAGTATCAGACTTGTGAAAAAAAACAAAACATATAAGTGAGATCCATATTTATTTTTAAAAAGCCCTAAAAGCCTCGTATTGGTGATTACTATGAGTAGCTAGTGAATGGTGAAACATTTATCATCTGAATTAATCAAAAGTGAGGGAAATGGGTTTACAAATGTAACCATGTGAAACCATTACAATGTTTATAGTTAAAAGAACTCAGGCAGCCAACGAAGAGAGCAGAGAATTTACTGCAAAACACCAACACTTAAGCAAAGTCTACAGTATGTGAATTTCCTGTGGGCTACTATCAGGGCAGGGTGGTTGATACATGGCTTGGTTGCTTTCATTACAAAAGCAAGGCCAAAATTAGCTCTATCTATTACAAGAGGTTGTAAGGCATTCTGGAGCTACAGCAGTAAAATGACTATAATTTCCTGACACACTAAAATCTAGACAGCAGCCAAAGAGTCTACAAGGGAAATTGGGATGTTCTGAAGAAGAAATAATAGACTTTTCCCATCCCTATCAAACACTATAGTGGATTTTATTGATGGAAAATATGAACATTTACCACTTTCTGGCTCAACAATTCCTTCAGTTGCCTTCCTAAATAACTATCTATGATTTCATTTGAAAATAAGAGCATTTCTATAAAGAATACATAGAAGAGATAAATCGCTTTTTCTTAAGTGTCAATCATAAACTAATATATAACTGTTATGATAAAGAAAATAAATCAGAATCAACTTTAATAGCCATGTTTTCAGGTCCAGCTTCCCTGAAGGCTCATCCTGATCTTCCACAGTTGCAACTCTAAGTGGGTCTGAGTCCACCAGTTAACCAGCTGGCCTACCTCCTATCTTATCTATGACAGTTTGTCATCTGGGTTTACTGAGATGCAGGTATTTATGTTCAGGAAGACGAGGATAGGAGTGACAACACACCCTTGGGGGGGCACCAATTTAGGTGTTTCCTGGACAGGAGAGGATGCTCCCTCGACTCACTCCCTGCTGCTGTGATCAGGTGAAGGTTTGATGGCATCTACTCTATATGGGAATATATGGTTTCCAATTTTGTTTTTTTTATAACTGTGTAGCACGCATCTATATTCTGTTTCTTTACTCTTAAATCCCTGAATAAAAGCAAGCATAGAAAAATTGAATCTCAGCATAAATTTACTGCTCTCTTCTGCCAAAAGGCTCAGGGGACACCTATAAATTACATCTTAATTCAAAGGTGCTTGTGAAACCAAAACTTCTTTTCAGCGATGCTTTCAGAGCAGAATCCTCAGCAGGCTATTGGACAGTTTTCAAGTGTCATCCATGTTGCTAGGCAACACTGAAGCAAAATAGATGTTGGTGTAACTCTAAAAAACATTTGAAACTATAATGTATTACCATCATCATCATCATAAAAGAGATAAATGACAAGAAGGCAATGAAGTAATCCCTTAAGACTTCTCAAAAAACACTGAAGGCCATTAAGTTTCACACTTATATTGTGGACAACCTTCTGCCAATAGGAACAGGGAGAAAGGAAAAATAAAACACTGTCTTTAGGAGGGGGTATTTCAAAATTTTGTGTGTAATATTATCAAGAAAAATTCTTAAAAGCATTTAAAAATTATCTATAAAAAATAAGGCTACATTTGGTAGCCTTGGCTGCATTCATCTTTCCTTCAATTGCAACCAGTCATCCTATCCCTGCAGCTGTAAGGCCTTATATAGACAGGTGTGTGCCTTTCCTAATCAAGTCCAATCAGTTCAATTGAACACAGCTGGACTCCAATGAAGGAGCAGAACCATCTCAAGGAGGATCAGAAGAAATGACAGAATGTGAGTTGAATATGAGTGTCACATCAAAGGGTCTGAATATTTATGACCATTTGATATTTTAGGTGTCCTTTTTTAATAAATTTGCAAAAAATTCTACATTTTTGTTTTTTTCCCCATCAAGATGGAGTGCTGAGTGTACATTAATGAGAAATAAAATGAACCTGTTTGAATGGCTGCAATGAAACAAAGAGTGAAAAATTTAAACAGATCAAAGACTCTGACAATTGACCAAAACACATTGGGCTTGGCACCTCCAGATCATGCTCCTTCCTCAATGTGTTAAAAGCCCAGCCTGTACCTCAAAACTCAAAAAGGATGATGAAGCAATAAACAAGAAGCATTGTTGACTTCCATAAACCAAGAACCATACTAGACTCAGACTGACATTCAACAGGGATAATAAAGACTGCACATTGGATCTCATCAGCTACCCAGAAAAAGAACACTCTTTTTACCAGCTTGCCCTCAAAAAGACTTGGAGTCCAAACCCGACCAACAAGTTTAAATAAAACTTTTTCCTCATGGCCCTAAAACACTGGGCACAAGTAATACACATATGCACACAAAAACACACCTCCAGGTCCACTGAATGGACAACTTCACCATTGCACAAATATTAATGAAAACTTTAATTTAAATAACAAATCTTAACTATACATTTTACCGACACTGATGCTACCACAAAGGTGCTGCCAAACAGCATATTGTGTCATTTAAAATAACAAGAAAGGTTTTCTTCGTAATACTGAGAGGTAAGTTGTAGAAAGTATTGCAGGAACTCTGAAAATGTCAGGCTGGATATTAAAGCTGCTTTTAATCTCAAAAGATGCTTTGTCAGACTGCTTTTATCTTAGCCTTGATGACCTTAGGTATTTGTGAAAGGCTATAATCAAATAGAGGTGAATGGCATAGTAGAGATTCTTATGATATAATTTCAAGTGGTTTATTTATCACTTTCTCCCTCAAACTTTGATTATTTTAAGTTTGCATTGATCTGGGTATTGGCAAATGTGCAATAAAGGATTATTACTTAAAAAAACTATTTATCTGAAAATTTGTGTTCTATTTAAGGGAAGGGATTTTCTACTTTCATTAGACCATGATACTGCAGTAAAACTTCATGTCAATTTAGGATTTTCCATTTTTAATACAACTTAACTAGGTAGATGTGCATATCTGCAGAACTATCTGAAATCTATAAACAATGCTATTTCTTTTTCTATTTCCTTTTTTATTTATGCCACGTTAGCTTTCTCTTGATATCCACTTTATGTTTTAAAAGGGAATTAGGGTTTTAATTAGACCCAGCTTTTTTCCTGCTCAATGTTTTCATTCCGGAATGTGTGTTTTTGTTGTTTGTTTTTTTGCTCTACTGTCTATTTTCAATTTCTTGAAAAATTCTGTTAGTCTTGTGTGTACCTGTATACACTCATCTGCTTATTTGCTTTGCCACAGACCAATAATATTTCTATTCTATTTTATTGAAGTATGTAAACCTGCTTAGATGATTTCACTTTGTTTATATGTACTTTTTATAATCTCAATATGATAACAAAAAATTGTGAAATTCTCCTTTTTCACGAGTAACACACTGCAATGTATATTGTGTAAATGTGGGTGAAAAACAAACACCTCAGTATCTCATTAGAAACAATAATAGACCCCTCCTCCATGAAAACAGCTGCTTTAACACTATAGTAGAGCATTTTCTCTACCAGTTAATTTATTGTTTATTGTGTATAAGACGATGCAAGTTAAAAGTAATAAAGAATGATAGTTAAAGAAAGAAAATGTTATCCATATAAAACATGTCAAATTTAAAGCCCTGTGGGCCAAAGCTGGTCCCTCACTACAATTTATCAGGCCTCACCAGCTAAATAAAGTATATGTCATTAAAATTGAGGTATGTTCTTTTTTAAGTGTACAAAAGGGCTAAAACTACTTAATAAATCAGAGCAGAGTGAATATTACAGAGCATTGTGCTCTTGTAAATGAAATGATCAAATCAAATGTTTCAGTTTTACAGGAACCGGCCCTTTTATCGATTTGATTATGTAAAGGTGGAGCAGCGTGAAAATGAATTTCAAACCCCTGATCTAAACTTAGATTTTTTTCCCCCCTTTCCTTTGTTTGTTTCTTCTTACCCTGCTGTCTCCACTTCATTCAGTTCTTTTTGCTACTCTTCTTTTGAAAATTCCTCTCAATACTCTGAGACTATATTTAGTGTCAAATAAAATGCCCAGCCTCTCTTTGTTAGGTACTGTACAGTTCTAGATGGCAACCCTCTTTTCAATGAAGCAAACGTGTTTTAAGATTCTCTGTGAGTTTTGTGGGCTGCTCTATAAACACCACCAGTCAATTACTGTATGTACAGAGAAAGCTAATACACACATTGCATAAATACTTGAAATATTTATCCTACCACTCACTGTTGTTTGAGCTTTGGTGAATTCAACTTTTG